GGGTGTCGGCGGGACCCCCAACAGGACAGGACATGGTGTCAGCAGGACCCCCGGCGGAACAGGTGACGGCGGGACCTCCAACAGGACAGGACACAGAGTTGGCAGGACCCCCGGCAGAACAGGTGATGGCGGGACCTCCAACAGGACACAGGGAGCTGGAGTGGGTCGGAACACCGACAGGACACGAGGGGCTGGAGAGGGCCGGACCACGGACAGGACACGGAGAGCTGGAGTGGGCCGGAGAGCCGGAACCATAGCTGCTGGGGCCGGTACTGGAGTCGGAACTGGAGCCGGGACCATGGCTGCTGGGGCTGGTACTGGGGCCGGTACTGGAGCCGGAACCATGGCTGCAGGGGCCGGTACTGGAACCGGAACCATGGCTGCAGGGGCCGGTACTGGAACCGGAACCATGGCTGCAGGGGTCGGTACTGGAGCTGGAACCATGGCACCTGGGTCTCGAGGTTTAAAGCAGGCGTGCAGTTTATCGGGAGGAGTCACAAAGTCCCTTAAAAATTCAGGCAGTGAGCTCCTTAACCAGGGCTTATCTGCAACTTCCCGGCGTGCTCGTGAAAGAGCAGCCTCCTGAGCCTCTTTACCATGAGCCCTCATCCACTCTCCAAGAAAACATAAAAGTTTGCAGGATGCGCCGGTGAAGATGGCCGCATCGTCTTTGTGCTCCTCTCCAACTTTGCCCATTTTCATATTTTGTACATATTTATTTTACTTTTGCCGTTTTACTTTTAACATGGTTCGCAACATGCTAGCCGACCGCACCTACTCTGCCATACAATATAGCAGAGAGGAACTTCTTCAATTGCGAAACTTCGTGGACAATAATAACCCTCCGACAGACAATGGAGATTCACCATGGCTACCTGTTGCTGTTCTACCTGAGAGACGCAAGAAGAAGACAAAGCGCGGGTGCCAGGCCGGGCTGCTGGTCAGACTGAGGAAACGAGAGAATCGACCCCTTCTTCCGAGTATTCTTCTGGCTAATGTTCAATCCATTGAAAATAAGCTAGATGAACTCAGAAGCCGGATTGCTTTTCAACGGGACATTAAGAACTGTAACGTGTTAATTCTCACTGAGACTTGGCTCAACCCCGCTATCCCGGACTCCGCCATTGTTCCTGATGGATTCTCTATTTTTCGTCAGGACCGGACTGCTAACTCGGGGAAAAGTAAGGGAGGCGGTGTGTGTGTAATGACTAATAACAACTGGTGCTCAGATGTGAAGATTATTTAATCGGACTGTTCCGCACATCTAGAGCACCTCATGATCTCATGCCGGGCCTTTCATCTGCCGAGGGAATTCACATCTGTTGTGATAACAGCAGTGTATATCCCCCCGCAGCCGCTCGCCGACAACAACACGGCACTCGATCAGCTGTTTGGGATTATTGATAAAACCGAGACTTCACGGCCAGATGCGGCGTTCGTTGTGGCCGGAGATTTCAACACCGCCAACATGAAGAAGGTTTTGCCAAAATATTACCAACACATCAGCTGCCCGACGCGCGAGGGAAACATACTGGACCATGTTTATTCCCCTTTCCGGAATGGATATAAGGCTCTCCCTCGCCCTCCCTTCGGCAAATCAGACCATATCTCACTACTGTTGTTGCCTGCTTACAAGCAGAAACTTAAAAGGGACAGACCGGTAACAAGGACAGTACAACGATGGAGCGAGGAGTCAGATGCAGCACTGCAGGATTGCTTTGCATCTACGGATTGGAGTGTGTTTGAGGACAATAACATCAACACACACACGGACACTGTCATATGCTACATTGGGAAATGCATCGATGATGTGGTACCGAAGGTTTCTGTACGGACATTCCCAAATCAAAAGCCCTGGATAAACTGCGATGTGTGCTGCAAGCTGAAAGCGCGCACTATCGCGCGCAGAGCTGGAGATTTGAAGGAGTACAGGAAGTCTAGGTATGATCTCCGGAGAGCAATTAAAAATGCAAAGAGACAGTACAAAGAGAAGGTGGAATCTGACTTCAAAGGCTGTAACACTAGGAATATGTGGGCGGGACTAAGGACAATGACTGACTACAAAGGAGCAGCGGGGGGTGCTGCGGGAGTGTCTGCGTGCGCATCTCTCCCAAATGAGCTGAACAGTTTTTTTGCACGCTTTGAGAGCAGCCGGGCTGTGGAGGTACAGAGGGACCAGGAGCTACCCTGCCCTTTTGTTTTAAATAGGGCAGATGTGTGTAAATCCTTTAAAAGGGTTAACCCACACAAGGCTCCTGGACCTGATGGCATCCCTGGCCGTGTTCTCAGGGTGTGTGCAGTTCAGCTGGCAGAGGTGTTCACAGACATTTTCAACAGGTCCCTGCTGCAGTCTGTAGTCCCCACATGCTTCAAACATTCCACTATCGTTCCTGTCCCGAAAAAGACAATCATCACCTGCCCCAACGACTACCGCCCAGTAGCACTCACCTCCACCATAATGAAGTGCTTTGAGCGGTTAGTCAAATCATTCATCACCTCCTCCCTCCCAGAATCTCTGGACCCCCTGCAGTTTGCCTACAGAGCAAACAGGTCCACAGACGACGCCATAGCCCTCACCCTCCACACTGCCCTCTCACACCTGGACCCGAAGAACAGGAACACATATGTGAGAATGCTGTTCATTGACTACAGTTCAGCATTCAATACCATTGTGCCCTCCAAGCTGGCCATCAAGCTCAGAGACCTCGGGCTCAACAGCGCCCTCTGTGACTGGATCCTGAACTTCTTGACGGGCAGACCCCAGGCAGTGCGGGTGGGAAACATCACATCCTCCACCCTGATTCTAAACACCGGTGCCCCTCAAGGCTGCGTGCTCAGCCCTCTCCTCTACCTCCTGTTCACCCACGACTGCGTGGCCACACACAGCTCCAACACCATCGTGAAGTTTGCTGATGACACGACCGTCATCAGCCAGATCACAGACGATGACGAGACGGCGTACAGAGAGGAGGTCGAAAACCTGACATCTTGGTGCCAGGATAACAACCTCCATCTCAACATTTGCAAAACAAAGGAGCTGATTGTGGATTACAGGAAGCAGCAGGGAGAGGGACACACCCCCATCGCCATCAATGGGACTACGGTGGAGAGAGTCAAAAGCTTCAGGTTCCTTGGGGTCCACATCACTGAGGACCTGACATGGTCTCTTCACACCACCACCATCACCAAGAAAGCTCGACAGCGGCTCTTCTTCCTCCGCAGGTTGAGGAGGTTCAAAATGGATTCCAGGATACTCTGCAACTTCTACAGGTGCACGATAGAGAGTATCCTGACTGGCAGCATGACGGCCTGGTATGGCAGCTGCACCGACCTCGATCGTAAGGCTTTACAGAGGGTGGTGAAAACTGCACAGCACATCACCAGGACGGAGCTGCCATCCATGGAGGACCTTTACTCCCAGCGGCTCAGGAAGAAATCACTACGGATTATCAAAGACCCCCCATCACCCCAGCCACAAACTGTTCTTTCTGTTGCCGTCTGCCAGACGTTACCGCAGCATCCTGGCAAGGACAAGAAGATTCAGAGACAGTTTCTTCCCGCGGGCAGTGAGACTGTTAAAAAATTGAACTGTTGAAACAACTTCAAACATTCATCTGCTACTCAGTATTATGTATCTAATACCTAATATATATATATCATTCCAATAACTTGTATATAGACTCGTACTGCACTATTCCACATCATCACTTTATTTTATAACTATTATTCTTTTTGTATTGCTCTTGCTCTTATTGTTATTATGTTATTATGTTATGTTGCATTGTTGGAGAAGCCTGTGACATAAGATTTTCAACTACATAATTACTCTGTAGCTATGTCAGATTGACAATAAAGAACCTTGAACCTTGAGGATAATTTGCCAACCTCATCCTCAAAAAACACTGCTAGGTCCATCTTTGGTGAGATCCTTCTGTCAGGGTAGAGCGAAGCAGGCAGGACCCAAATGCAGATTTAACCGAAAATACCTTTATTTCAAGGTTAAATAGAAACAAACAGAACTCTTCCCCGTGAACACAGTCAAAGACAAACAAGGATCTCACAAAGACCAACAGGAAAAACGAACCTAAATGCACACAGGACTAATCAAAGAAATAAGAGACAGGTGAGGAGGGAGGATAAAACACAGGGGCACAAGGTGAACACAATCAGGAAATCAGGTAGGAGGGAACAGGTAGGAGGGAACACCCTCCGGGTGTTTCTCAATCGCGAGTAAAGCTGCTTCAGAGCCACTATTTCAAGCATACTACGTCATCGAGTGCCGCCGAAGTACTGTTCCAATCTCCAGCATACTTGGAAATCTACCGAGCCCGGCGTACTCCGTTTGGAGAAATATCGAGGCTGCACATGAGTAGACTCCGCGGTCTTAAAATCCCCACAATGCTTTGCGCACGGACCAATTTCCCCAAATCTGTGGCGGAAGATGTAAGGCCTCTCATATGACGCACACCTGCACACTTGCTAACCTGTTCCACTCTTTGTTTTCCGAATGGCAGGAAGTATTCTTGCCTTGCTTCTGAAGCAAGATGCTCGGCAGACATGTGCTACCAAGCAAGCGTACTCGCGATTGAGAAACACCCACAGACAGGAAACCAAAGATAGATCTAGACAAGACAAAACACACCACAGACAGATCGTGACAGTAACAGAGTATTCCTACACTCTAGTTCAAGACTTAGTTCCCATAAAATAATACTTATTGGTAGACACTTAGACACAGGAACATGGATGTGGGTACAGGAGAGGAAAAGAGATATGAGAATAATCAGGATTTAGCACACTTTATAATTACTTAATAAAACAATTGTGGGAAGCAGTGTTTTTATATTGAGAGAGTGCAATAGTGGGTATAAGATGTACTGTGGTATTGCAGTTTTAAATTAGTTAGAGACAGTTTCTAGGAAAAATCTATTATAATATCTCAAATAGACATGTCATAATTTCGCAACATATTACAAACCAAAATTGATGTAACACTTTGATAATAAAACTTGTATTGAGTTTTATTGCACAATATACACAAGCTGCTTGACCAACATCATTACATCAACACTGTCAGAGGCACAATTCTGTGTAGGCAATGTAATCTTTTTGAACAATTTCATACAATTTCACAACTGCTAACATTAGTGGCGCAAGACCTCTTAACCCATTATTGAATAAACTACTTATCATATATTATAAATTTTCCCCTATAATACCATGTTGATCACAGGATTCCTCGAAACTTGCAAGGCAAGGCAAGTTTATTTATACAGCACCTTTCAGCACACGGTAACCCAAAGTGCTTTACAAAATAAAATAAAAGACATTTAAGAACAAATACACTGGAAGCACATTTAAAAACAGGCATTTAAAAAGCAAAGATAATCAAATCAACACAACAGGTATAAAATACATGGATAAAAAGCCATACTGCAGTTTGAATTCTCATCCAAATGCAGCCTCAAAAAGATATGTTTTTAATCTCGATTCAAAAGTATTAACAGTTGGATACTGTTGTATCAGCCTGTGGAAATACACCCGAGTGGAGAGACTTGTTTACTATGTGAAGTAGATCTGAGACCAAGCAATGAAAAACAGTTTTGAAAGATACTGTTGGAATAATATCAAGGCAGCAGGAGGAGGATTTCAGATGTTGAATAATGTCCTCCAGGTCTTTATAATTTATCAGACGGAATTGTGTCATGATGTCTGAATTGACTTTAGGTGGACACAGGGACAAAACATTTGCTGTACCTGGTACAGAGGCACTGACTGCTTGTCTAATTTTCATAATTTTGTCAGTGAAGAAGGAGGCAAATTCATTGCAGGCCCTGGGTTTGTTAGTCTGTCGACGGTTGCAAACAGGGCGCGTGAGTTGTTTTTATTTTTGGTAATGATGTCAGAGAAGAAAAACTGTTGTGCCTTTTTTATTTCCTGATTATAGATGCAGAGTCTCTCTTTATATATTTCCAAGTGAACTTGGAGATTTGTTTTTCTCCACCTGCGTTCAGCTTTTCTACACTCTGTTTTTGCTGTTCTCACGGTCATGGCTTTTCTCCATGGAGATATTTTCTTGCCAGATACTTCCTTTATCTAAATTCGCCTTTTACAAAGTTCAACTAGAGACAGAAAGACTCGGGTTAGGAGGACACATACACTCTTACATCATGTAAACATCTACACTGATAAAAAAAGAAATCCAACACTTTAAATATTTAAAATGCTTACAAAAAACACATTCAAGCAGAAGAATTTAATTTAGCAAACACCCTCTCTTCTATTCTTCTTTTGTTACTATTTTGCAGGGTTTGGATCAGGGTAGTTGAGGCCTGATTGCCCTCCTTCTTCACAAACTCCTGTAGAAGTTCGAGTGTCTGCTCCCGAGCGTCACCAACGTGGTTCAGCCTACAATTCTCAATAGCAGTGTCAAGCATACCGCTGCGTGTTGCTACATCCTTCATATCCGTCCATCCAATTATTTCTGCAATGTCAGGCAGGTCGCGCTCAAGAAGTGGTTCTAACGTGAAAAAGGGAAAAGGCACTTATTATAACAAATCACAACACACATCATCACAACTTTATTGAACTTGTATGGGCATTTTGATTTAAACAGAAAATAAAAAAATATTTAAAAGTATCAAAGTTAAAACGTAAATCAAGCACAATCCAACCTCTCCAATTATTCAAATAAATCTGGTTTTTTACTAGTACACAATGGTTAACAAAAAACACCCGTGCCAGACAGGGCTTTGTAGGCAGGATTGTGTAAGAGCAATACAAAATAGTACAACCTATGTACGCAACAGGTAAATTGCCAAAGAAATGGCAAAATAGCATATATGAGATTTACAGGTTTTAGTTATTTGACCTACAGATTATTCCAACTGGGAATACATTGACGTATCACTTTAATAGCCATGACAACTAATACATTACACTACTTCTTGTCACTGCTACTGCAGCTAACATGTTGACGAAGAAGGATTTTAACACAATATCCGAGTGAATAATGATAAATGTCAGACCTGTCTGATTATCCATCAAGCAGTTATTTCTTCTAACAAACTCAAAATATAGAGAAATAGCAATTATACCTCTAATATTGCATCAATTTCAAAGAGATGCACTTGTGTTTTTCTTACCTTTCAGGGACGGATCCTCCTGAGAAACAGAAGAAGAATGAATGTTAATAAACAAATTACAACTCTGATAAAATAACAAACCACTTAATAATCTTTACAGATTTCAAATACTTTTTATATGCCACAATAGTACAGACACAAATAATTGTTCATCATACAGTACGTGCACATGTGTGCTGAGGTGAGTTAAATCAGGACAAAGCCAAAACATTTCATAAATGGAAGAAAAAATATCACATTGGTGAATAGCTTACCAAACGGCGATTTCTTTCTTCTTCTTCTTCTTCTTATTTTAGACAAATATTTTAAAAACAAGATACACATTGTTAAAAAGATACAAAAGCAGCAATTAAATCTGACGTTTTTTTTTATTAAAGTGGACCTATCATGCTATATTTGAATAATATAGTTTAGGACCATACCTATATAAGGCATATTTATACTTTTTTTTTTTTTAAATACCAAACAGATCATGCATTTTAGCCATGCCTCATTTTGCTCAATTTGACAATTTCTAGCTCTGTTTTTGCAAGGGCAGATTCAGTGAGAACAGCACCATCTACTGGCCTGGCATATGTACTACAGCGTCTCCAGCGCTTTCGAACGGCAATGGCCGTGGCTGTCTCCTCCTGATTGGTGGAGTTGGCCCAATAGCCGTAGCGCCACTGTCCTGACGTCAGGACAGTGTTCAAATCTGGATCAGTTTTTATCAGATCCGTTGCAGCCCCTTTTTTAGAGATTTGGGTATGGAGGAAAATAGAGAGGGTTGTGTTTTCTGACACTTGGTGAGTTCCCTGGAACACCGGGGACACATATTCATGTATGAAAGACGTACAAAAGTGCATTTTGCATGATAGGTCCCCTTTAAATTACAAGCACACTGGACTTAAAGACTCAAAACAATTATACAGAATGGAACATATGAAAGCAAATTAAGAAGGATATATTTTATCCAGTTATGATGGACTTGAAACAATAATAGGATTTGAACTGGTGTGCTTGAAAAGTGAAAAAAATGAAGAAAATCCCCTCTGTCAAGCACTTTGACAATGTTTAATGTTATATTGCTGATATAAAATTGTATTAAATACATTTAAGAAGTAGAATGTGAACATTAGTATTATTATTCTATTCTATTCCTTTGCTTTCCTATTTTTATTGAGAAACACACAGTTTTAGTGCCCTCTGCTGGTCTTTACATATAGTGGTAAAGTAGTAAAAATACTCACGTTTGCGTTTCCTTATCCAGAAGAATACAAGAAGTCCAAGAAGTATTAAAACAATTGGGACAGTTAGGCCAACTATCAGCCCAGTGTTAGTCCCCCCTGAAAACACAAGACACAATTTATAAATGAGATGGCAATGTAATAATTGAAGCCCCCCTAATGAAATAATGCCTAACTATGGCATACCTTCAGTTTTCTCATTGCAGACTGTGTTATTGGTGGCTGTACAGGCTACTTTGACACCCTCAGTACATCTGGAACCAAAATAAAAGCAAGTATGAGAAACCATTAAAGATCCCATGTCATGGCCATTTCTACTGATCATAATTCCATTGTTGAGGTCTACTAAAATACATTTATACTGTGCAATTTTCCAAAATCACATTGGTTTCTCATACAGCATCTCTGTATAGTATGTGTATTCACTCTCTGTCCTAAATGGCTTGTTGGAGCTCCTGCCCCCCCCTCCCTATGAGCCCAGTGGCCGTCTGCGAGACAGCGAGACACAGCGAAACCCAGCCCGAACACACACACACACCCACAGCCTAGCTGTGAGTTTGTGTGTGTGCTCACACACCGACTCACAGCCTCGCCGCGTCCCGCCGTCTCAGGCGGAGAAATCGGCGGAGCTGCAGCTGAGAAAAGATTGAGTGTGTGTGTGTGAGGAACGTAACGTAACGGCTCCACGGATTGGTCCATTTGGGTATGGGCACGTCAGCATACCCAGGAAGAAAACAATAGAAAAAGAGAAATCTCCAACGAGGCATTCTGGGGCAGCATAGACAGGTATTTTCTGTGTTAGAGTTTTACTCGCTACAGGGTGTACTTTGAGGGTTTATGACTTTGCAGACCATTTACATGCATAAAAACCTTCATAACACACAAGGGGACAGGTAATAACCGGAAAAGCACGACATGGGACCTTTAAAGGATTATGCTGTCAGCCTATTGTGAAAAAGGAATCCACCATGTGACACTGTATTGCAGACATTTCTTTAAAGAAGCTATTCGTAAATCTAATAGTTTACAATTGAAAGATCAGAACTTACTCTTTACAGGGGTAGCAGATTCGACAGGTTTCTTTACTGCTGCAAAAGTGATCCTTTTTGCATCGACACGTTGCATCTCTGGCACGGGTGCAGGGTACATCCAACATTAGATTGGCTAAAAGGACCGTAAAAACACATTAAACATTAGAAGGACTGACATAACTTTGCATTGCTTTCAAACAGTATTTTTCCTATGAAGTCCGGTGAAGTCCCATTATGTCTTTACCATTGGGATGTGAGCAGGATGTGCATGGCTCACAGGATTCCTGGGAATGAGGGTGACTGCTGTATGTCCCTTCCCTACAGCTTGTGCATTTTCCAGGTTGAGTCGTAGTGCAGTGGCTCTCCACGAACGTACCTACAACATTAACACACATGAGCCAGAAGAAAATATATGCGGCCAGCTTATGATTTACACACCCACTATATGCAAACCAAGTGTAAGTTATTGTAGCCCCTTCGATGGCAAAACAGACACACATTGAAATGTCCTTATTTATGATGACACAACGTTTAATGCTGACTCAGCTTTTGCTTAAGGTTCTGTGTCCAACAAGACAAGAGCTGTCATTAACCATCATACAAATGTATTTAACACACATTTTAGCACATAACTGCCTATTTTAAAAACTACAACAGAAATATAATTATGCCAAGAAATAATGTATAGGGGCCCCAGATGCAAAAGGGCCTAAAATACCATGACCTTTGCAGCATGAGCTTTGTGGTAACATCTTCTAAACAATTGTCCTAATACAAAAGATTAGACAGCTGCATTGGTTTCCTGTACGTCAAATAATTTATTTCAAAAGACAATGCTGGTTTATAAACCACTGAATAGTAAAGGGACACTCAGGTGTGCTTTGTGCCTAGAGTCCAAACTATCTGATGCAGAGTCCCAAAAACACTTCAGGTCTGCTTCAAGAGTCATTTATTTTGATTCAAGGCAAAGGACATTTGTTTGCTTTTGTCTCATTGAAGATCAAATCATTATTTTATATTGCTACTAAAGCAAAATAAAAATAAACGGTAAGGTCAAACCTCCTGCACTTTTTCTTGAGGCCCTTTAATGTGTGCCTTTTATCACAAACATTATTGATTTATTAATTAATTCAGAATCTTAAGTAGCTCAGTAAATATTAATCCTACATATTCCTCCATTACAAAATGAATCTAAATATGAATCCCATTTTATCCAGGATAACTTGGATTACTCGCTAAACAGCTAAACTGATTATTATATTTGTATTAAGTTTACATTTAACCCCTGCCCTGGCACCTACCAGCCCCACACAGACAACAGGTCACACCCTCGTGCTTGTACGTGCCATCAACACAGTGCTGGGTGTCCCCTAGAGCAGAGGACAAGTCCCTGGAAAAAAAACACATACATATATTTGAAAATAATTTCTTAATTTTTACATTTTCTCATAGAACTGTTCTTAAAGCACTTTAATAAACCAAATAAATAAGCGTTAAAAAAATGATGCAACGTTTCTCCCTGAAACCTCAGACTCACTGAACATGTTTATAATATCCAAGAACGTGGTCCACTTCCGTCTTTATATGTAGCCAGCTAGCCACATTGTATTTTAACATTCGTATTATAGGCTGTGTATATATTCATATTGCGAACAGTGGTTCTGTATGATCACCTGATTTTTGTTTTCCTTTTGACCTGGATATAAGACTGCGAACCAAAAAACAAAACTGAAACTAAAGTATTACACAACAATATGTCTATCACAATGTCAACACGGTATAACAATAACGTTTAATAAAATCGCTTCCCTTACAGTTAGATTGTACGTATGTTGATCTCAGGTGATTTCTGTCACACATCGATCTGAACCTCTCCTTTTTATAGCGACTTAGCGCCTGTACATCGGGTGTCAGTTCATAAACGCCCTAGACTCTGTGGTAACTTTACTTACACAGATCGAAGAGAAACCAAACCGACGATGAAAAACCACGAAGGAAACTTGCTTGAATCAGCTGTCTTCATGTTGTATCTTTATAAAATGTTGTAACCGAATTAAAAAAGTAAATGCCTGCTTACAGCTACAGTACCGCCCTACTGCCTACTTGAAACTGTGGAGGCGGGATTCATTGTTTGTTTGTTTTTCCTACTTGCTTTCAGTTTCGATCCCCAATAGAAAATTAAGCATGCTTTTTTTAGTATACATTTCAATAAAACCTGTGCATTAAGTAAACAACTGAGAGGTGTTCTGTATGTTACCAAGTGTAAAAATGCAGTGGTGAAAGTAGGCTAATGTTGTAACTAAGTGCAATTTCTAAGATAAGCCTACTTGTAATTTAGTATTTTTATGTTATCATACTTTATATTTCTACTTGGAGGAAAATAAATGTAGGCTACCATTCCAAGGTCTTATAGTTTCTTTGTAGGCTTAGATTATTAAGACACAATACACATCAACTAATAGCCTACTATGATATCACTATGATATCATTGCGATATCACCAACATGACTTTGGCGACCTCAATAGTGCGGCTCCTGTTAAAAGGACACACGCTCTTTCCATTTTTCTTTTTAATAATTGACAATGAATGGAAAGTCAGCATTACTTATGGTTGGAAGATTGCCTCACTGTGACTGTTTTTTTTTTTAGCTAAACTCAATTTGGGCCACTAGATGGTGATATTGCTGAAGGCTTGAAGGGTTTACACACACACACACACACACGCACACACACACACACACACACACACACACACACACACACACACACACACACACACACACACACACACACACACACTTAAAAAAACTATCCAGAATTCAGTTCTTTAAGCTAGCACCAAAAATGGCACAATTGAAATGTTGGTTACATGGTCATTCCACCACTTTGGTCCCCAGACAATGAAGACGACTAACTTTTCTTCTAGTCCCAGTGGGAGGTTAACTTTATACACGGTTGGATTATTTTTCAACTAGTGCTATCACCTGATCAGAACTTAATTTATCCTAAATTTATGAATAAATACGTGCAAAACTAAAAATATTCTCATCGGTCTCAGCTTTATGTTTGTGCTAAACAGCAAATGTAAGCATACATACCAACAAGCTAAACTCAGATAGTGAACATGAAAAACATTATATAACATTGTCATTGTAAACATGCTACTGTAGCATGGTGATATAGCTCAAAGTAACACTGAGCCTCCTCCGTCCTAGATCCTTTTTATATTGGCATTCATTTGAAGGGTAACGTGTTTTGGAAAGCAAAAATCTGTAACATTTAATTTATTTCTGGAGCCTTTTCACTATCATTTATTTTAATTTTGAAAGAAGAAACTGTTTACAAGATGAGCTATGAAAAGGGAATAAAAAGTCCCTTGAAGGATTTTAACACAACATGGAGATCATGAACTTCAAATGTAGGAAGTAAATCCGATGGCCTTCTCCCTCAGCTGCTATATTCAGGATACATAAGTGGATGAGTTGGTCCTGATCGTCTTGGCACAAACATTCATTTTGGTGCCTCATTCTGTTGTAGGTGGGCTAAAAACAGCATATAACACTGCTTCAATAGGCCGCAATAAGAGCCACGACTCTCTTCCACTCTGCTGTACTGCAACAAAACCAAATAACGTCAAAACCACCAGCGGAGAAGTGCAGCTTGCAGATTTCAGCTCTTTGGAAAGACATTATCATCCTCGGCCAATGTGTTCCGCCTCCTATCGCCCCCAGGTCATATGCAATGGCCCCCTGCATCTTCAGCTTGTTTCTAACACACACACATTGAAGCACATCACAGATGTCTGGCCAGATGTAGCTCAGATCCTGAAACAAACACAAAAACAGTTGGATGTTATTGAGAAGACGAGTGGATTTAAAACAAATATAAATGTTAGCAGGCTGAATTAAACATAAAGAACACGTTATATGAAAAATATCCTCCATCCTAGTGGGAAACAAAGATTGACACGGCTCTAAATATATAGGCAGTGGGCTGATTGGGGCACTCGTCCAGTATCAGAGTGTGAAACACAGGAGGAAGGAAGATTAGGCCCTTTTTGTTGCCCTTCTCTGATAAACTTATTTTGTTACAACTGTGTGCCTGTTAGCATTTACATCCTGTTAACATTTTGTCCCAAAAAAAAGAGAACAACACCCTCTTCCTGAAAAATATCCCAAAAAGATTATAGATGATGAAATTTGGCTTCTAAGTGAACAATTGTAGGGAACACTCACATTGACGTTATTATCTTCCTTCCTGAACGTCATCAAATAAGCAAGAAGTAATGCAATAAACTGTACAGAACAGGAAATGACACAAGTCTCTTGCTTATGTTCCAAGCTTTTGGTAAAAGTTAAAGAGACAACTGCACACTACTCTGTTAAGGACGCACTGAATTACTTTTACTATCATTATACTCTTAAAGTACTACATATAGTGGCCTCAAATGGGACTTTTAATAAGTAAAACATGAAAGGGGACGTTCACACATATCATGATCTCACTGTAAGATCATAAGATTAGGAGCTGTTCTGTCAGAGTTGACATTTAAAATGACAGCAGAAGTGGCAGCGTGTGTGTGTGAGGCCACAGAGCGCAGGAAACTTCCCAAGACTAACTCACTGGGCTGTTCTCCAACACCAACAGGGCTCAGTCCATCCAAACAAACATTAATCCAGACAGAGAGAGGACTGTACTGCATTTCATAAAAAAATAATTTGAGAGGTATTTATTACAGAACATGTAGGCAATATAAAGCCTGAATCCTTAGCTAGTTTTTTGTTTCTGAGTTGAATACTCTTACCACTATATAAAAATAGTCTGGTTAAAGTAAAACTCCTAAGTGCATACGTATTATCAATGTTTATGTTATTGTATTTAAACATATTCACATCAAATTAGTATGTTACAGCTGATACGTTTACTCTAAGAACTGTACTTAAAGGGGACCTATGATGCAAAATGCACTTTTGTACGTCTTTTATACATGAATATGTGTCCCCGGTGTGTCAGGGAACTCACCAAGTGTCAGAAAACACAACCCTCTCTCTTTTCCTCCATACCCAAATCTCTAAAAACGGGGCTGCAACGGAGCTGATACAGATTTGAAATTGTTCTGACGTCAGAAACAGGGAGCTCCGCCTATATGGGCAACTCTCCACCTATCAGGGGAATGGGGGGTTGGGCCACGGCCACGGCCATTGCCACTCGAAAGCGCTGGAAACGCTGTAGTACATATGCCAGGCCTGTAAGTGGTGCTGTAGTCTGCCACAAAAGCAGCGAAGAAGACTTCTCACAGAATCAGCCCTTGCAAAAACAGGGCTGGCAAAGAGCAAATAGAGTGAAATGAGGCATGGCTAAAATGCATGATCTGTTTGGTATTTTGAAAAAAATACTTCACAGACATGTTTTATAGGTATGGCCCTACAATATATTATTCAAATATAGCATGATAGGTCCACTTTAAGTACAGTATTGTAGAGCCGATGAATGGGAGTCGGAGGCGGCGTGTTTAGTATGGGACTCCACACTTTATTTTCCATTAGATTTACAGAGGAACGAATCACTTGCTAAATGTTGCTGTTAAGCTAGAATGAACACAACAAACAGGTCCACTCTCTAACAGGTCCGTGGTGCAACACACACTATATACAATGGTGAATTATGTCCCATAATATTCCACCACACAAGCCCCCCCAGAATTCACCCATACACAAAGTCTGTGCGGCGGGGAGGAACGACAGGCTGACCACCACGACTCCGGAGAACGGGAGCCGGGGAGGCGACCCCTGCAGGGGCGGCCGCTTGGAGAGGTGGGACCGGAACCGCAGGCCCCAATTCGGTGACAGGGGTCAAGGCCGGGAGGAGGCCCCGTCGCGGAGGCCGTGCCAGCACCACCGGCTGGTCCAAGTCCAGGTGAGCAGCCTTCACCCGGTCCACCGAGACGTGCTCGGCCTTGCCACCCAGGTCGACCACTAAGTGCTAAGTTCCAAGACCCGGAAAGACCCGTCGTAAGGGGGCTGCAGGGGGCCTCTGTGAGCGTCGTGCTGGATGAACACGTGCTCCGCCCAGCGAAGCTCCACGGGAACCCGGGACACCCGAGTGCCATGCTGAGCAGTGGGGATCGGAGCAAAAGCCTTAGCGGCGTCCTGCAGGAAAACTCGCTGGGCCGTCGCCGACCAGGGGGCCGATGGGTTGGGGAGGAAATCCCCTGGAACCCTCAGTGGCTGACCGTAGACTATCTCAGCCGTGGAGCACTGCAGATCCTCCTAGGCGCGGCGTCAGGCCGGCCGGCCCTGAGGGCCGCCTTCATGGAGCAATGGAGACGCGAGTGGGACCGCCTCCGGGTCGTCCTGTCCACCATAGTTAGGAGGTCGGTAAAACCCTGGGAGGAGGGTAATGGACCAACCAGATCGATGTTGACGTGGTCAAACCTCATCAGGCACTAGGAATTGCTCCAAGGGGGCCTTCGTGTGGCGGTGCACCTTAGCACGCTGGCAAGCGTTATTAATCCATAATATTACCTCAGAATCCATTAGATGATTAACATTTTTGATTAATAATTTGAACCTGTGAAAATGTCTATGTACACGTTATTATCAATACTAATTTAAAAAAAAAAGTTTAATCATCTCGCGACCCCCACTTTGGGAACCCCTCTAGGCAACACAATAGTGACTGAGTAAGCGCTCATCATGGAAATGAAAAACACACACACCGGAAACATGAGTCCCTTTACAGCTAACAAACACTACTCTGTGTGTCGATGTGTAAAGATTTGACGAAAACAACAAAGTCAAAATTGTTTCCCTTTTAGACAAACATAAGCACCAGGCATAATCTGGGGGACGTAATTGCACGCTTGAACGCACTCTTTGTCGTTGTACCCTGTTTAGTAAAACATTAAGAATACTATGGTGTACAAATAGTTTATTCAAACCTACCTTTATGCTGTTTTCCCGTTACGTCCATCCTGATAAACGTATATGTTGGGCTCTCCGGTTCACACATCCTCAGCTCATGTAAAGGAGGGAAACTGTTTTGTTCTCTTACTCATTTCCTGACTTTGTGCTCCACCCATAAAGGAAGACACCGCCCAGCTTCTTCTCCTTAACCAAAATAGCCATCATAGGAGTCCAGTGTTGTGCCTAAACTTTTCAATGTATTTCCTGGTATTATCATATTATTTTCTCAGCTTTTGAAATGTGAAGATGTATATTTAATATGTTGCATTTGATAGTGAACTAATACAAACCTGCTTTCTTTCACTGTTGCCTGATACTTTATTTGGATCAAATTATACATTTGGCATAGTAATTGTAAGACGATCAATTCTTAAAAGTAATCATTACTTGAAGCCAGTGGTGTAAAGTAACTAAGCAGGCTAAATTTACTCATGTACAAGTTTGAGGTGTTTGTACTTTACATGAGTAAAGTACCTCTATTTTCTGCAACTTTGTACTTCTACCCTACAACCATTCACAGGTAAATATTCTACTTTCACTCCATTACATGTACTTTAAACCTTAAGTTACTTTGCAGATATGGATTAATGAAATAAAATTAGGCATAACACTTTGATTTAATTCACAAGCTACCCAGCAGTAAATAAAGTAATTAAAATAAGTTCCACCTTTACCAGCTATGATAAACACATTAATACCTCCATCAGTATACTTATCAACTTTTACTTGAGTAACATTTTTTTTTAATGCAGGACTTTTACTTGTAGTATTCCTACACTCTAGTTCAAGACTTAGTTCCCATCAAATAATACTTATTGGTAGACACTTAGAAACATGAACAAGGATAGGTAGAGGAGAAGAAAAGAGATATGAGAATAATCAGGATTTAGCACACTTTATAATTACTTAATAAAAATAATAAAGCAATTGAGGGAAGCAGTGTTTTTATATTGAGAGAGTGCAATAGTGGATATAAGATGTACTGTGGTATTGCAGTTTTAAATTAGTTAGAGACAGTTTCTAGGAAAGATTTATTATAATATCTAAAATAGACATGTCATAATTTCACAACATATAACAAACCAAAATGGATGTAACACTTTGATAATAAAACTTGTATTGAGTTTTATTGCACAATATCTTGACCAACATCATTACATCAACACTGTCAGGGAGGCACAATTATGTGTAGGCAATGTAATGTTCACCAATGTAATATTTTGGAACAATTTCATACCAACAAATGGGGCGAAGCCTGCAAGCTATAGTTCAGGCAGTCAACTGGAGCACCAATGATACATTAACACGTGACGCACCTCGTCCCTCTTACAACCAACCAAACACATTCTCCTAAACATGCTGCTCTATTTAAGCTGACAGGTCTTCCTGCCTCTGCCTCGCTATGCTGCTGCTGCCACTGCTGTGTTCACTTGCTATTGCTACGTTCATGTTCCTGCTACTTGCCTTTAAATTTAATTTAGCAATAACCTTCTCTGCTATTCCTCTTTTGCCACTCTTTTGCAGGGTTTTGATCAAGGTAGTTTGGGCCTGATTGCCCTCCTTCTCCACAAACTCCTTTAGAAGTTTGAATGTCTGCTCCTGAGCATCACCAACGTCGTTCAGCCTACAATTCTCAATAGTAGTGTCTCGCATACCGCTGCGCATTGCTACAGCCTTCATATCCGTCCATCCAATTATTTCAGCAAGGTCAAGCAGGTCGCAATCAAGAAGTGGTTCTAACATGAAACAAAGGAAAAGGCACTTATTATAACAAATCACAACACACATCATCACAACTTTATTGAAATTGTATGGGCATTTTGATATAAAGATTTTAAATATTTAAAAGTATCAAAGTAAAACGGAAATCAAGCACAATCCATACTGCAATCCAACCTGATTTCATACCTCTCCAGTTACTCAGATAAGTCTGGTTTTGTAATAGTACACAGTGGTTAAAAAAAGACACCCGTGGCAACCAGAGCTTTGTAGGCAGGATTGTGTAAGAGCCATACAAAATAATACAACTATAAAAAACGCAACAGGTAAATTGCCAAAGAAATGGTAAAATAGCATATATGAGATTTACAGGTTTTAGTTATTCGACCTACAGATTATACCAACTGGGAATAAATTGACGTATCACTTCAATAGCCATGACAACTAATACATTGCACTGCTTCCTGTCACTGCTACTGCAGCTAACATGTTGACGAAGAAGGATTTTAACACAATATCCGAGTGAATAATGATAAATGTCAGTCCAGTCTTTCAACTCAAAATATAGAGAAATAGCAATTATACCTCTAATGTTGCATCAATTTCAAAAAGGTGCACTGATGTTTTTCTTACCATTAAGGAGCAGAATCTCCTGAGAAACAGAAGAAGAATGAATGTTAATAAACAAATTACAACTCTAATAAAATAACAAACCACTTACACAATCTTTACAGATTTCAAATAGTATTTCCATGCCACAATAGTACAGACACAAAACAAGCACACTAACATTTACACCAAAGGTTTCAGAAAACTAACCTGCACCTCCTACAGAAAGGGGCAGTTTTGCCAATAATAGAGAAGAGACAGAAAATTGTAAATCATACGTGCACATGTGTGCTGAGGTGAGTTAAAACAGGACTAAGCCAACACATCTCATAAATGGATAAAAAGAGATCACATTGATGAATAGCTTACCAAACCACCATCTTTACGGACATTTCTTTCTTCGTCTGGGGTATTATTTCCTTTCAATTGTGAGACAAATAATCAAAAAACAAGACACATTGTTAAAAAGATACGAAAGCAGCAATTACATCTGAAGGTTTCTTGATTTAAATTGAAAGTGCACTGGACTTAAAGACTCAAAACAATTATACAGAATGGAACATATCAAAGCAAATGAAGAAGGATATATTGTATCCAGTTATGATGGACTTGAAACAATAATAGGATTTGAACAGGTGTGCTTGAAAAGTGAAAAAAGAAAAGAAGAAAAGCCCCTCTGTCAAGCACTTTGACAATGTTTAATGTTATGCTGCTGATATAAAAATTTAAATAAATGTAAGAAATAGAATGTGAACATTAGTATTATTCCTTTGCTTTCCTATTTTTATTGAGGAACACACAGTTTTAGTGCCCTCTGCTGGTCTTTACATATAGTGGTAAAGTAGTAGAAATACTCACGTTTGCGTTTCCTTATCCAGAAGAATACAAGAAGTCCAAGAAGTATTAAAACAATTGGGACAGTTAGGCCAACTATCAACCCAGTGTTAGTCCCCCCTGAAAACACAAGACACAATTTATAAATGAGATGGCAATGTAATAATTGAAGCCCCCCGAATGCAATAATGCCTAACTATGGCATACCTTCAGTTTTCTCACTGCAGACTGTGTTATTGGTGGTTGTACAGGCTACTTTGACACCCTCAGTACATCTGGAACCAAAATAAAAGCAAGTATGAGAGACAAAAAAAAACATTAAAGGATTATGCTGTCAGCTTATTGTGAAAAAGGAATCCACCATGTGACACGGTTTTGCAGACATTTCTTTAAAGAAGCTATTCGTAAATCTTATAGTTTACATTTGAAGGATCAGAACTTACTCTTTACAGGGGTAGCATAATATACAGGTTTCTTTACTGCTGCAAAAGTGATCCTTTTTGCATTGACACGTTGCATCTCTGGCCCGGGTGCAGGATACATTCTCCTCTAGATTGGCTAAAAGGACCGTAAAACACATTAAACATTAGAAGGACTGACATAACTTTGCATTGCTTTCAAACTGTATTTTCTCTGTGAAGTCCGGTGAAGTCCCATTATGTCTTTACCATTGGGATGTGAGCAGGATGTGCATGGCTCACAGGATTCCTGGTAATGAGGGTGACTGCTGTATGTCAGTTGACTACAGCTTGTGCATTTTCCAAGTTGAGTCGTAGTGCAGTGGCTCTCCAAGTACGTACCTACAACATTAACACACATGAGCCAGAAGAAAATATATGCGGCCAGCTTATGATTTACACACCCACTATATGCAAACCAAGTGTAAGTTAGTATTGTAGCCTCTTTGATGGCAAAACAGACACTAACACATTGAAAAGTCCTTAGCTTAGCTTAAGGTTCTGTGTCCAACAACACAAGAACTTTCATTACCCATCATACAATTGTATTTAACACACATTTTAGCACATAACTGGCTATTTTAAAAAATACAACAGAAATAGAATTATGCCAAGAAATAATGTATAGGGGCCCCAAATAGAAAAAAAGGGCCTAAAAGACCATGACCTGTGCAGCAGGGGCTTTGTGGTGACATCTAAACAGTTGTCCTAATACAAGAGATTAGACAGCTGCATTGGTTTCCTGTACTGTAGGTCAAATAATTGATTTCAAAAGACAATGCTGGTTTATAAAGTAAAGGGCCAAAATATATTTCTTCTCAGGGGTGCTTTGTGCCTAGAGTCCAAACTATCTGATACAGATTACAATAGTCATTTATTTAGATTCAAGGCAAAGGACATTTGTTTGCATTGGTCTCATTGAAGATCAAAAATAAAAATAAACGATAAGGTCATACTTCCTGCACTTTTTCTTGAGGCCCTATAATCTGAAAGTGCCCTCAAAAACCTTATTGATTGATTTATTAATTCAGGATCTTAAGTAGCTCAGTAAATATTAATCCTACATAGTCCTTCATTACATACTGAATCTAGCTATGAATCCAATTTTATCCAAGATAAACCAGCTTCTTAAAAAAAGGAAACAGCTAAACCTTAACCTGATTATTATATTTCTATTAAGTGTACATATAGCCCCTGACACTTACCAGCACCACACAGACAACAGGTCACACCCTCGTGCTCATACGTGCCATCAACACACTGCTGGGTTTCCCCTAGAGCAGATGACAAGTCCCTGGGAAAAAAAACACATACATACATCTGAAAATCATTTCTTAATTTTCACATTTTCTCATAGAACTGTTCTTAAAGCACTTAATAAACAAAATAAATAAGCGTTTGGAAAATGATGCAACGTTTCTCCCTGAAACCTCAGACAGTACGTGTTTATATCCAAGAACGTGGTCCACTTCCGTCTTTATATGTAGCCAAATTGTATTTTAACATTCGTATTATAGGCTGTGTATATATTTATATTGCGAACAGTGGTTCTGTATGATCACCTGATTTTTGTTTTCCTTTTTACCTGGATATAAGACTGCGAACCAAAAAACAAAACTGAAACTAAAGTATTACACAACAATATGTCTATCACAATGTCAACACGGTATAACAATAACGTTTAATAAAATCGCTTCCCTTACAGTTAGATTGTACGTATGTTGATCTCAGGTGATTTCTGTCACACATCGATCTGAACCTCTCCTTTTTATAGCGACTTAGCGCCTGTACATCGGGTGTCTAAAGCTGATAAACGTCCACTCTGTGGTAACTTTACTTACACAGATCGAAGAGAAATCAAAACGACGATGAAAAACCACGAAGGAAACTTGCTTGAATCAGCTGTCTTCATGTTATCGTACTTATTTTTATAATAAAGTTAATTATTAAGTAAAATGTCACTGCTTACAGTTAACGCCCTATTGTCAAGCCCCCAGGAAGTGCGCCGGACTCTGATGAAAATATTCGTGCTGGCCAAACGGCGGTACTACACTTCCTTTTGGTTGCCAGGCCCGGAAACACTTTTTTCCATTGACTTACATGGGGAAAGAGTGGTCTGTAACTCGTTGGATAATTTTTTTTAAACTAAATAAACTACCCAGTATGAACACTTGTATAGCCCTTATTAAAAACATTCGTCCCTCAAGTTGTAAAAATGTGCTAATAACGTTATTCTGAGAGTTATTTCCCTCTGTATTATGAACGCGCATCTAACCCACGGGACCGCGCCGCCCGGCACGTTCATGTGTGTGCGTTTATCTTTACCCATGGATAAGAACGGACCCATATCGCCTTACTGCCAGCCCACGGAGCTGTAATAATGGATATATTGCACATGTTTGCTGTAATTCATCATTTGTAAAATATTATACTACATGGGCTGTATGATGTAAATCTTGTATTAAATAAAGTTAATATTACCGACGTAGATTAACGTCCCTGTAGCTTCTTATTGCACTTGCAATATACCATTAAAGGAGTTGAACGTTGCTGTTTGCTATTACTATAATACCACGCAGGGATAAACCAGAGTTTACAACCTTTGCATGTGGGCACAACACGTTTTGACCCAGATTAATTAGCTATACCATGATATCGCCCGAGGAAGTCGTCATACTTATACATATATAAATAAAGATATATGTGTCAAAGCTCTAATCAAATTAACAGTTGTATTAATTATACTTGTATATGTGTATATATATATATATATATATATACACTGTATATATATATATATATATATATACACATATACAAGTATAATTAATATATATATATATATATATATATATATATAGCCTGTGTTTTATATTTATACACACAAATGAACAACCTTGTGTGTGTCAAATAACAAGTTGTATTGTAGTGTTTATTTTAGTGTTGTGTTATGCTTATCCACATTTTGATTTCAGAGGACAGGAGAATGCTGGGCACAACATAAAGCTCAAAAGTGAAGCTGGCAATGCTGAACAAAACCATCTAGTTATAATATTTATTCAGCTGAAAAAGTCAAAGCTCTACGAAAATGTAATTAAAAATACATAAGCATTTTCAGGTAGAAAATCAGCATTTTATATAGAAATTCACAAAAATAAGAAATGTATACCTCTTATGGCTGGCATTGTAGAACTAGGTGGAAAAAATAGTGACAACAAATGTAAATACAATTTATATAGATTAAAAGGTAATATATATAATATTGATTGCAATTATTAGATTAAAAGATCCACCAATTATGATCAACAGGAAAGCCCTCTGAAGGCATGTTGTGGTTTGAAAAAAAGTTGAGGATGGGGTCCAGACAGTTAAATCAGGAGAGACTTCATTTTGTTTAAAGAACATTTATTGACACATGTCATATGATAAATGTTAAGTCTTTGGCGATTAGACCCCGATCCTGAAATCTTATATCTAAAGGGGGAAATGCAGCCGTGAGCATATAGGGAACCTCCCCGGGGTCTAGACACTGGTGATGATGATGAAGATCTGGATTTGATGAGGAGATGGGATGAAGAGGAGGTGTGATGACGTCTTTGGATTAGCTCTCCTGGCTCTGGATATGATGAACGGAGGTGGGTGGAGAAGAGGTGGATGGGGAGGAGGTGGATGGGGAGGAGGCGGGCGGCAGCATGAACACCTGAAATCACAGCTGACTGCAGGAGAGAGGAGAACCATTTTAAAGTTTGGCTGCAGCTCGGTGATTGGCTGCTGGAGAATGAGGTGAATGTAATAGGTTAAAGAGAACGCCTGTGATGAGCTGATTATAAGCAGCTGCGGAGTGAATGTATACATACCCAGTCTTACTCTTGAGTTACCCACTCTTACTCTTGAGTTGTTTTACTCATCTTCCCCAGCCTCCCCAGCCTCACCCAGCTGTGGTGTCTGTTCTCTTTCTTCTCAATTTTGGATGTGGCCCAGGAGGAAGCGCAGCCACTTCAAGACACTGGTACGGGCCTACGTGCTGACGACACGACCGTCATCGGCCAGATCACAGACGGCGACGAGACGGCGTACAGAGAGGAGGTCGAAAACCTGACATCTTGGTGCCAGGATAACAACCTCCATCTCAACGTCAGCAAAACCAAGGAGCTGATTGTGGACTACAGGAAGCAGCAGGGAGAGGGACACGCCCCCATCGCCATCAATGGGACTACGGTGGAGAGAGTCAGCAGCTTCAGGTTCCTCTGTGTCCATCACGGACACGGCTGCATCACGGCCTGGTACGGCAGCTGCACCGCCCTTAATCGTAAGGCTTTACAGAGGGTGGTGAAAACTGCACAGAACATCACCAGGACGGAGCTGCCATCCATGGAGGAGCTTTACTCCCAGCGGCTCAGGAAGAAAGCCCTCAGTTTATGTTAATGTTAGAAATGTTTTGGCACATTTGTTCCTATTCTGCTAATGGTATATTGCAGGATATTTAAGTTTCCCATGTACTTTTTAAATTAATAATAGTATGTTCATCTTGATGTTTAACTTGTAATATTGTAATCATCTTAGTTAGAAATGCTGTTTCCACCCCAACCTCTGCTGCTGAATGATTTTATATATTGTTACTGAATGCGCTTGTCTTTGATATTATAATGATTACACCAGAAAGTCACTCTTTGTGAGATTTATTTTTTCACATTTTTCCCAGCCACAAGATGATTTCATTCATTGGAGGCTATTGCGGCAGTAAACTTTCAAACAAAGTGCCGCGAGGGACTAAACAAGAGAAAAAACACTGTGGACGCGCAAAAACTCAGTCTTTCCAAACAGTATGCGTTTGACCTTTTATTTTCTTAGCAAAAGTTCAATAGTCCATATCCATATGTATATTATGCGTGCATGTGTGCATGCGTCCGTGCGTGCGTGCATGCGTGCGATCAACAAAAATTGTCCTTCTCCAGTTCACTCCCCCTCCATCTATCACAAAATGTGCAGGTAAAAGCAACCGGATATAACCGCAAACGTCACCACACAAATCCTTAGACACGCCCACCACCTAAAGTGACTCAAAAACATGTCCCGTAATAAACACAGAAACTACTACTTCAAATGTGGCTCCTACATTCCGGCCTCTAATTATATCAACATAATAATTACACAACTGAAAAATGATGTAGGAGACAATCAAGGAAAAAAAATGTAAGGATAAAAACGTCCTTTGTTAGTGTCCTTTTCTTCTATAGGCAAAAAAAAAAATAGAAAAAGAAAAATATATAGTTTGTTAGCCTATGAAGGAGTGATCTTAACTATCACTTGGTAAAAAGTCAGAAAAAACGTCAATGTCAAGGTCTATGAAGTTCAATAACCCACTAATTTCCTCACGGCTCTTCTGCTTCCTGTAGAAGGCAGATCTTTGTGATAGGCCTGTCCAGATAGCTAGTTTTTGTCTTCACTCGCACCTGACGTACAAGTCCTCTTCTGTCTGGAATGGTTTGTACAATCCTTCCTGTAAGCCATGAGTTGCGAGGTGCTGAGTCATCGACTATGAGCACAATATCTCCTGGTATGAAGTTGCGCTTGACATTTGACCACTTCTGTCGTTCCTGGAGTAGAGGCAAGTACTCCTTAATCCATCGTTTCCAAAACAAGTCTGAGATGTACTGAACTTGTTTCCATCTTCGACGAGCATATATGTTCTCTTTATGAAACAGTCCAGGTGGAAAAGATGGCTTGGTTTTTAGCAGCAAAAGATGGTTAGGGGTTAGTGCTTCCAAGTCATTGGGATCTGTGGATGCTCTTGTTATGGGACGGCTGTTGATGATGGATTCGGCTTCACAAAGAACCGTGTGAAGGCACTCTTCATCAAGGTTCTGTGCCTTCAGGCTGGAATTCAGAACCTTCCTCATAGATCTGATCAACCTTTCCCATACTCCTCCATGATGGGATCCAGTAGGGGGATTGAAAGTCCACTTTATTCCTTTCTGAAGGAGGGTGTTGTTGATTTTAGCAATATTCAACCTTTCTATTGCCTCTCTCAATTCACGCTCAGCTCCGACGAAGTTGGTTCCATTATCTGAGCGTAATTCCAATACTTGTCCACGTCTTGCGATGAAGCGTCGAAGAGCATTAACAAAGGAATCTGTATCCAAGGATGAAGCTACTTCGATGTGGATGGCTCTTACTGTTAAGCATGTGAAGAGAACACCATACTTTTTAACTGTACTCCTTCCTCGCTTGACCTCAAAAGGTCCAAAATAGTCAACTCCAACACGAGTGAATGGAGGTTCATCTGGAGAAACTCTGTCTCGAGGTAAATCTGCCATTTGCTGCATTCCTGGAGCTCCATTTAGTCGCCGACAAACAATACATTTTGACAGGGTTTTCCTTATAGCCACACTAGCACCAGGAATCCAGTATCTTTGTCGCAGGCTAGATAGCATGTGGTTACGACCACCGTGTCCCACATCTTGGTGTACTTGCCGTAGAATGATGTCAGAAATGTGAAGATCTTTTGCCAATATAGCAGGATGTTTAGATTCTTCAGGCATTGCTGCTCTACTGAGACGTCCTCCCACTCTCAGAACACCATCTTCAAGTACTGGGTTGAGCTTGTAGATGTGACTAGTCCTTTTCACACCTTCTCCCTTTTGCAAGCCTTTGATTTCCTCAGGAAACCTTTTTCTTTGGCAAAAGCAGATAATTTCTTTCTCAGCTTTTTGGAGGTCCTCAATAGAAAGAAAACCAGAGACCACCTGAGCCTTGATAGTCTGCATTTCCTTTTTCATCTCTCGGTCTTGTTGTTCCTTATTCAAGCCAGACTGAGCAAGAGTCAGACTCAATTGCTTCCTTTTTCGACTAAGGCACAGCACCAGGTTTTTCAACCTAAGGATCCAACCAACAGTCTTCTTCAGGTGGATCCAAGAAGAGAAGTGATTGATCAATCGGGTTACAGCATCCATCTCTTTTTCAACCAGCACAGCGTTCACATTCAGACTTATCTTGACCTCAGGGTCT